GCTAGGCATGCTTATAATCCTGGCACTCTGGGAGGCTGACGCAAGAGGATTGCAAATTTGAACTTGGCTTGGGCAACCTAGCAAGACCCTGCCTCAAAACAAAGGGCTAAGGATGGAGCTTAGTGTAGAAGCCCTAGATTAAATCATTAATATGGAAAAATGTAGAGTCTCATTCAGAACATGCAGAGTATAACAGTAATACTTTACTAAATAAATATATTACATATAGTGTATTCTAGAGAAATACTATATTTCTCAAAGTACATATTATCAAAGTTGTTGTACCCTTGCCTGACATCCTGTAAGCCATGGAGAGATCACCATGGGACAGGTGAGAGGCCAACATGAAATACACCCACTGTTTAAGGATTGTTGCAACTTGTTTTACCTTTTCTCTCAGATGGTCAGCTCTGCAAGTTAGATTCTTCTGTATGTCATACTTAATTTTAGTTGGTGTTGGTGATGACTACAAACCCTGTTCTGTGACTCTTTCTCCTCAGATACCCAGAAAGTGGTACTCTACAAATGAATGTCAAGGATCTTCGACCACGAGCTAGAACCATTTTGAAATGGAGTGAATTAAATGTGGGTGATGTGGTAATGGTTAATTACAATGTAGAAAATCCAGCAAAAAGAGGATTTTGGTATGATGCAGAAATTACCGCATTGAAGGCAATCTCAAGGACGAAAAAAGAACTTCGTGTGAAAGTTTTTCTAGGGTAAGATTTTTCTCTCTTGATATTTAGTTACTGAATTGAGGCATGTTCTTTTTAGGTATGAAGGCACATGTTTCTAGTAAAGACGGCTGAGCTTGGCAACACATGCCTGTAGGCACTGTAAGGCTGAGGCAGGATGATTGCCGTCAGTTTGAGGCCAGCGTGGGCTACATAGTGAGTTCAAGGCCATACTGAACTATGTAGCAAGACCCTGTCTCAGAAAAGAAAAGGAAAAAAAGATAGAGTTTGTGAAAGATGGAACTTTCCGTACTATAAAAATTAGTTTTGTAATTTGAGAACTGTTATTAAGAGTGGCTCAAATCTTCATCTGTACTTTAGATTTGGAGATATAATTTGGAGGAATCGTAGAAATAAATGAGCATCTCACTAGAGAAATTCTTCATAGGATTCTTATACATGAAACCATATGCAATAGCACTTTAATAATTATGTTGCTTTAATAGTAGGTGACAACCTAACAACTGTCTACTGCAGTTCTGATACTTACTGCATTTTTCCTTAATTTTTAATCAGCATACAGAATTTAATAAACTGAATGAAGAGAATTCAAAATGCAAAAACTCTCCTGAACTACCTAATCATGAACATATGTCCATCATTAATTCTTTAAGAAATATTCTTCAGGCTGGCTTGGTGGCATACACATTGAATCCCCACAGTGAGGCAGGAAGACTGCAGGTTTGCGTCCTGTCTGAACAACTTTAGCAAGACGCTGTCTCAAATAGGTAAAAAGGGTTGAGGAGGTTGCCCAGTGGTAGACAGACCCTGGGTTCAGTTCCCAGCACACCTTCAAAAGCATTTATAATATTTATATATAAACATGGTAGTTTATATAAGAATTATGTATATATATTCACACACACTCTCTTAGATGCTTTCCTGAAGTGAAAAAGTAGAAGGAAGTTTCACAGTTACTGGAACATTATCACCACCATCTCTGTCTGCTTTTTCTGAAGAGTTTGTTAGGTGAATAATCACTAACTTCTAAAAAATGAAAATGTGGATTAAACTTTCTAGGTTTTTATTATAAATAATATTTCAACATTGTGTATATTTTTGTGCACTCTTTTCTTAATCATGAATCCTTCTAGATTTGTTACATTGAACATTGAAGATTTTAGAATGACACAGTTTTCCTTTACATAATGGAAGCAACTAAAATTAATATTACCAAATTATAAGTAACTGGATTAGTGACAAAGTGACAGATCTGGGAGGCAGCATATGCTTATTAAAAATACAAAATAAGTTAGGTAAATTACAGTGCACTAATCGCCTGCTTTTGAAAATAAAATTTTATTAGAATAGCAATACCCATTGATTTATGTATTACTTATGGCTGGTTTTGTGCTAAACAGCAACTGTTGAATAATTGGGACTGACACCATCTGACTTGCAGAGGTTAAACTACTTATAATTTGACCTTTCACATAAAAAATTTGCTAACTCTTAGATAAGGAAAAGAATCTTAGGAGGTACTGAATAAAGCTTGTGCTTTATTTTATGGTATTAGAGATTGAAGCTTTTTTTTTTTTGAGACAGGGTTTCACTATACAGTTGAGGCTGGCCATGAACTCACTTTGTAACCCAGGCTGGCCTCAAACTTGCAGTGATCCTCCTGCCTCTGTCTCCCAAGTGCTAAGATTACAGATGTGTACCACTTTGTCTGGCTGAAGATTTTTTTTTTTTTTTTAAAGAGGAAAAACAATAAAAGCAATGATACAGAATTTCAAAACAAGATAATAGAGTAACAACAGTTAATACATTGCATATTGTTATCTTCAGAGTAGTTGTTCAGGTTACAAGACATGGCATGAAAAATTGATCAATGTAAGCGCAAACCTTTCTTTTTAATAAACTAATAGAAATTAGTAGTGTAGCTATTTTAACTATCTTGTATATACTTATTTGTTTTTCCTTTTCCCTTCCTTTTCTCCTTTCCCTTATCGCAGTTTCTCCTTCCTTTTGAGCAGTTTCTTCCCACTTTCCAATATCTGTTGTACATTTTGAATCTTATTTACTCTTTCAGCTTCTTACACTAGGGGGACAGTACGATGTTTACACATGCGAGTCTGATTTATTTCACCTATGAGTATGGTCTCTAGTTGCATCCATTTACCCATAAAGTCTTAAGTTTATCCTTCTTTATAGCTGAGTAATACTCCATTGTATAAAAAAACTACATCTTTTTTATCCATTCCTCAATTGATGGGCATTTGGGTTGTTTCAAAGGTCTAGCTAGTACAGATTATGCTGCTGTAAACAGGGGTGCACATATATTGCTCTGATGTGATATTTTTAATTCTTCTGGGAAGATACCTACAAGGGGAATAGCTGGGTTGAATGGGACTTCTAATCCTACTTTTTTGAGAATCTCCACACTGATTTCCACAGTGGCTGCACCAGTCTACACTCCCACCAACAGTGGAGAAGGGTTCCTTTTTCCCCACAGCCTCACCGGCATTTGTTATTGGTTGATTTCTTGATGATAGTCGTTCTTTCTGGGGTGAGATGGAATCTCTCAAATGACCAATGATGTTGAACATTTTTTCATGTATTTATTTGCTATCTGTATTTCTTCATCTGAGAAGTGTGGATTCATCTCAAATGCCCACTTTTGGATTGGGTCTTTGAATTTGGGAGTCTGGTCTTTTTTCAGTTCTTTACATGTTCTAGATAAAGGAACAGTTGGCTAAAATTTTTTCCCACTCTGTGGATTGTCTTGATTTCTTCTGATGTGCAAAAGCGTAATTTCACTTTTTTTTAATAAAGTGAAATCCCAGTTGATTCTTTGAAGTATTTTCCATGCAGTTTGGGTTTTGTTCATGAACTCTGCTTACCCCTATGTCTTCAAGAGTTCTACCTACTTTCTCTTACAGTATGTTTAGTGTGAAGCTTATATTTTAAGGAAAACGTTTAGAACTTTCTACAGAGATACAGTATTATATTCTGGATTAAAGTGTAGCTCGATTACAGATTTCTGTACACAGCTTGAAATTCTGGTATAGGTACATACCATAAGAAGTAGAAAAAAGGGCTGGGGATTTAGCTCAGCAGCACAGCACCTACCTGGCAAGCGCAAGGTCGTGAGTTCGATGCCTGGTACGGGAATAAAAAACAAAAAACAAAAAAAGAAGTAGAAAAAAATGTATAGTGAGCCTTATAATATACTTTATTATTCTGAGGTTCATGATTGGCAAATATTGATATAATCAGTGACAGCTATCTGAACAGTAAAATACACTGTCTTGTTAATTACTGTGTCCCCTGTCATGTAAATTTTTATTGGAAGTGTTGGGAACATAAAAATATGAAACACTAGAACGGCTTGAAGGTGGGGATTTGGGGTGAGGGGAGTATGGGAACTTTTTTTCATGATTGGAAATCTTTCCCCCTCACACTAAGGAATTGATAAGTAGAATAAAGTTGTAAATTCATTCTGCTGTTGATTATTTTCAGGCCATTAAGGAACTGCTGTGACTTTTCTACCTGAGTTTTGGCACATGTGCGCCTTGGTTACTCCACAGTTCATGATGTCTAGCAATAGAATCATTGGGTTACAGTCCTTTGTGCTTTTTAATTCAGTAGATAAGACCAAACATTTAATTGATTGATCTCTATTTTAATTTCATACCAGTATTAGAGTTCACAATGTGCTGCATTCACATTTCACATTTAATTTTGTCAAACAATTTCTGCTGATCAGGTGAGAGTGTATAATAAAAGTAATATCTTGATGGTTTTGATTTGCTTTTCCCTAACTAATGAGAACAGTTTTCTATGTTTATTAGCAGTTTGGATAAAATTTATGAGGATCTAGTTGGTAGTTAGGTAGGTGTTAGTTTTTAGGAGTTCTAATTTTGTATCTAGACCAATGTTAGCCATAGGTGTCAAATATCTTTTCAAATTTGGGCTCGTCTTTTCCCTTAGGGTATTTGATGAATAGTTTTATTAACTTTAATATAGTACAAGTTATCAAAGTTCAAGAAAGATTTTTGTCCGTATGGTTGTACTTGCTGTCTTAAGAAACTTTCCTTCCAGAGATCATAAAGTACTCTTTAGAAAGGTTTCAAATGTTCTGTGTACTTCCATTGAAATTTTTCCAGATGCTTTTTCTAGTATATAGGAATGCAAATACTGTAACCTTTGATCATGGTCCATTAGGTTTATTGGATTTATTAATTTTAACTTATATGTAGATTTTGAAGTATTTATGATAATCTTTTGTGAGTTTTTTTTTATTTGATTTCTTCTGGTAATTCACCAGATGAGCACTTTAGTACATTTTGAAGAGAAGATAGGTGCTTTGTTTTTCCTAATCCCCAAATTTTTCAAATAAAGTTTTCAATAAGAATAGTTAGATAGGTATTTATAATATGCCTTTCTAGATTTGACTTGACAATATTTCATGTAAGATTTTTGCATTCATGTTAATGAGTGAAATTTGCATGTAAAATTTGCACTCTAATGCCAGGCTTGGTGGAGCAAGCCTGAAATCTCATCATTTGGGAGACTGAGGCAGGAGAATTGCCCAAAGTTTAAGGCCAGGCTGAACTACAGAGCAACGTCCTGCCCTCCTCCAATTAATTTTCTTTTTTGGATTATGGTAATTCACAAGAGTTTGGAATTTTCTTTTTCTGTCTCATGATAGAATTTTGTATCCTTTTCTTGAATGTTTGGTAGAATTCCTCTGTATAGTCCCCTAGGGTTGAATATTCTTTGTGAGAAGTTTTTTTTTAAATTTTGATTGATTGAGTGTCTGTAATAATCACGGTAGAACTATTCATAGTTTCTATTTTCTTGAAGTAGAATTGTCTAATAATTTGTTACATCTAGATTGTAAAATTCTTTAGAAGTATCTTTTTTTTTTTTTTTTTTTTTTTTTTTTTTTTTCAGTTTTTGAATTTAGTTTGTGACCTTTTGCTCAGTCTCACCAGAGGTTTGTCAGTTACATTAGATTTGAAGTTTTTGGTTTGGTTTGT